ATCCTGGTAATTCGAGGTCTAGATAGCGTTTTTATACTCAAGGTATGCGGTACCCCGGATTTCACCCGGGGTATCGTAGAAGGCACCATATATATATATATAGTGCCTTCTACGGTACCCCAGGTGAAATCCGGGGTACCGCATACCTTAAGTACGAAAACGCTATCTAGACCTCGAATTAACAGGATTTTTGGGCATGATACTATACCCTAACCCTTAATGAGTGAACCCTAGGTCCTAGTTATCTAAATCATAAACTATAAATCCTAAGATGGTGCATTGATTTTTTTTGCCTATATTTGGACGAATCATAACCGTTGATTATTGTTTCTAATTAAATTGATCTTGGGGTATAAGATTTAGAGAATTAAGACCTAGATTTTGATCTTTAAGGGTTAGAGTATAGTATCATGTTCGAAAGATCAATCAATTCAAGTTCTGGATAGCATTTTCTTACTCAACTTATACGGTACCCGGGATTTCACCCGGGGTACCGTAGAACTCCCCATATATATGTATATATATATATAAAAGTTAAAGATTCATATTTCAAAAACTAAAATTATGAAAAACAAAAAAATTGAAAACACCTAATATGTTTCCTTCTTTCTTTTCACAAAAATACTAAAATTTCCCTCTTTCTTTCTCTTTCCATACTTTAGAAAAACTCAATTTTCCCTCCTCTTTCTCTTCCATAAAATTGAAAGAACCAAATTACCCTCTTCTTTCCTTCTACAAAAAGTTGAAAACTCAAAAGTTTCCCTCCTTATTTCTCTTTCATAATTAAAAGAATCAAACTTTCCCACTTCTTTCTCTTCCCACATATCAAAACCACCAAAATTCCCACTTGTTTCTTTTCAAAAAAAAATCAAAGAACCAAATTTCCCTCTTCTTTCTCTTCCCAAAAACTTGAATACACCAAAATTTCCCTCTTCCTTTTAAAAACATCAAATTACCAAATACATTACTTTACTTTATATTTAAATGATATTTTTATTGAATAGTTAAATTATAAAAAATTTAATTTATATATTATATTAATATTGTCATGATCTCAAGTGACCTTCATGTTTCAATTTTTGTAATTTTCTTAAAATACGTAATATCAAGTGAGTTTCATATTTTCTAAATTTCTTATACGAAATGAAAAAATAATTTTACTTAAATTTAGAATGAAAAACTTTATTTTGAAAAACTATGTACTGTATATTTTTATAATTATTCAAGTGGATTAGATGAAATTCGGGTTGACTCGGTCGGGTTACGGGTTAATCGGGTTCGGGTCAATCGGGTTGCGGGTCAGTCGGGTTCGGGTTAATCGGGTTGCGGGTCAGTCGGGTTGCGGGTTAGTTGGGTTGCGGGTCAATCGGGTTGCGGGTCGGGCGGGTTAAGGGTTGTTGACTTTTAGTCAATTCGGGTTGCGGGTCGGGTTTATCGGGCGTGTTAATCGGGTCGGGCTATGTTTTCCTGTTGTTGGTACGAGAACAGTTTCCGCGGGTCCGATCACTCTTCCCCACACCCTCTACGTTCCTCAGCTTCGTCCTGATTTAGTTTCGGTTGGTCAACTGACTGATGATGGCTGCGATGTCATGTTTGACTCGAATGGTTGTGTTGTGCAAGATCGGACGACAGGGAAGGTGATCGGGCGGGGCAGTAAGCATGGGCGGACTTTTGTTCTTGATCGATATTGCAAGAAGGATGATGATGGGATGCAAGGTGATGACCATCAAGGGCAAGGCCGCAGTGTTTCTGGGGATTTTCGGGGGCTGGGTAATACTATGAATAAGACTGATGTCGTTTGTCCGGCTTACAGTTCAGTTGTTCCATTTGATACTTCGTTGTGGGTTTGTGGCATCGTCGTCTGGGTCACCCTCATTCGGGCAGGCTTAAGACTATGTTTAGACAAAATTTATTGCCGGATAAATTGAATGTGACTCGTTTGGATGGTTTGTCAGATTGTGTGAGTTGTGTGGAGGCTAAGACCTCCCAGATGTCGTTTTTGGATAGTGATACTTTCTATGATGATCCATTCGATTTGGTGCATACAGATCTCTGGGGGCCATCCCCGGTGACTTCTCGACTGGGTTTCATATATTTTGCTTTATTTATTGATCATCATACTCGGTTTACTTGGGTGTATTCAGAAATCATTTCTCTGGCTAAGGAGTTCATTCAGATGGTTCGCATACAGTTTGGCAAGACAGTTAAGATCCTGAGGTATGATCCTGGAGGAGAATTTGTGTCAAATGATCTCCTTCTGTTCTTTCAGTCGGCAGGTATTCTTCCACAGCAGTCTTGTCCAGGAGTTTCGCAGCAGAACGGTGTTGTTGAGCGTAAGAATCGCCATGTTTTAGAACTTACCCGAGCTATTCTATTTCATTCCCATGTTCCGACGCGCTTCTGGGTTGAGGCAGTATACTCTATTATATATTTGATCAATCGTCAGATAAGGCCTTTGTTGGGACAACGATCTCCGTTCCAGGCATTGTACTCCAAGCTTCTAGATTATTCATTCTTACGAGCTTTTGGCTGCACTTGTTATGTTTTGCTCCCTCGAAAGGAACGACACAAGTTAGCTCCGAAGGTGACACAGTGTGTGTGTGTCGGTTATAGTGACAAACACAAAGGATATCTATGTTATGATCCTGTTGGTCGGCATATGCGCATAGGGTATCATGTCAAATTTGTGGAGACAGAGATGTATTATTCAGCTACCCATGAAGAAGCTAGTTCGGCAGCCTCTTTGGAATTTCTCACTTCACTTCCAGAATTTGAGGTTCCCATTTTGGACATACAGCCGCTCAAGTTCGTCCCCGCCAAGTTCAACCACTGCTGCTCCTTCCTCTTCCCCCAGCTTCTCCTCAGCGAGCTCATCCCCTGGCTCAAGTACGTCGAGTTCCCACAGGGAGGAGAGTGATAGTTCTCCCTCGCCAATCCAGTCAGTCTTACCATTGCGACGGTCAAATCGAGCTACGTTAGGATAGCCTCCCTTGCGTATGCAAGACTTTGTGAGTTTTTCGGCGCAACCCATTTTATACCCACCCGATACTCTCAAGCGCGCGTGATCCAAGGTGGAATGCTGCCATGCGAGTCGAAATTGATGCTCTTGAAGAGAATCGGACCTGGGATCTTGTCCCTCGTGAGGAGAACATGTTCGTAATAGGTAGTCGATGGGTCTACAACATAAAGATGCTGCCTGATGGAGAGATAGAGTGGCTTAAAGCTAGTGTAGTGGCTCAAGGTTTTTAACAAGAGTATGACATTGATTATGAAGAAACATTTGCTCCTGTGGTGAAGATGCAAACTGTTCGGTGTGTTTTTGCGGTAGCTGCTATGAAAGGATGGTATCTGCTTCAACTTGACGTTAAAAATGCGTTTCTTCATGGAGATCTGAAAGAAACTGTCTACTTGGAACGCCATCCGGGGTATGAGAAAGGTGACTCAACGATGGCGTGTAAGCTAAACCGATCCTTGTATGGCTTAAAGCAGGCACCTCGTGCGTGGTTTGATAAGTTTCATGGGACTGTACTGCAGGCAGGGTTCTCTCAAAGTCAGAATGATCCTTCCCTTTTCACTCGAGAGACTGTTGATGGCCTTGTGGTTTTGTTGATTTATGTAGACGACATGGTTATTACTGGCAGTGATACTGGCGGGATTAGGGAAGTGACAGCTATCTTGCGGAGTGCCTTTAACTTGAAAGAAATGGGAGAAGTGTCCTACTTTTTGGGATTAGAGGTTCGTCGCTCCTCTCAAGGACTGTTTGTGTCACAACGGAAATACATTCTTGATCTCCTAGAGTCGCCTCAGTTTACAGATTGTGTGCCCTGTTCCACTCCCATGGAACAAAATCTCAAACTTAGTCGCGATGGGGGGGGGGGGGAAGTGTTGGAAGACAAGCACCAGTAAGATTATAGGAGTATAGTAGGGAGCCTAATTTATTTGACTCATACGCGGCCTGATATTTGCTATGCCGTTCAGGTTGTGAGTCAGTTTCTGGGTGGAGCTACTAATCTTCATCTTGCAGCTGTTCATCGTCTATTGAGGTACCTGAAACAGACACAGAATGTTGGATTATTCTTCCCAGCTACAGGAGAGCCGCAACTAGAGGCTTTTGCAGATGCAGATTACGCTGGGTGCTTAGATACTCGGAGATCGACGTTAGGATGGTGTGTCAAAATTGGGAAATCTTTCATGTCCTGGCAATGCAAGAAACAGGATCGAGTGTCAAAATCATCGACTGAAGCCGAATATCGGTCCATATCAGAGGTGAGTTCTGAGCTAGTTTGGCTTCATCGGCTCTTAGGCGAATTGGGTGTTGACTGTCGAATCCCAATGGTTATACATGGGGATAATATGAGTGCTATACAGATTGCTGTTAATCCCGTTTTAGATGACAGGACTAAGCATATCGAAGTTCATGTTCATTATATTAGACAGTTGGTGGCAGAGGGAAAAATGCAGGTTGGTTATCTAAATACAGAAGATCAGACTGCAGATCTTTTGACGAAGGCGGTTTCATCAAGCAGACATTGGTACTTATCGTCCAAATTGATGTTGCGTACCGCACATCAATTTGAGGGAGGGTGTTGAAGTTTATTATTTTAGGTACCAACTTGTATTTTACCAAAACCCTTTCTATTATGCTCCTGTCGTGTAACCCCATATGTATATATAGCCGTTCCTCCTCTGTAACTAGGCCAAGCTGTTTTTGATATAGTGAAACCTTTTGGAGAGTGCCGTCTCTTCCGTGGATTAGTCCTGAGCTTCAGGGATACCATGTTAGATTCTCGACTGGGTTTTGATACCATGCAGACATTTCTCCCTCACGAGTCTCTCTATTAAGAATCACTAAAATAAGATTTATAGGTAGGCAACCGCACGCTCTCTTCAATTGCATGTATGCATCAAATTACTACTTAAGATTTATGTGAACGGGCAAAATGTACAGCTAGGGGGAGCCTACAGACATTGATTTTACTACTAGTAGCACCATTACGGTCTTAGCTAACTACTAAGCGCTGCATCGAGCAAGTTTCCACTGCAGGGCACGACAATGTAATCGAAACGCTTTCATCCCCATAGTCGTATGCGTACAAGCAACTATCGGACTGATTTACCAAGTAAATGGTATTCCTTTCAAATCCCGATTTGCTAGCGCAACAGCCGAACCCACCTGACCCAACGAAACACTTGTCTGACGAACTGAGAAAGAAGGCCCGGTCGCCAAGATCATCCACCGCTTCCAATTTCATCTTCTCCACATCTATCCTATACGCTTTTAGATCAACGATCACGTTCACATGCCGATTCTTGAGCAGATTTCCAGCGACGTGTAGGTAAAAGAAGAGAATTTCGCCGCAGGACTCGACCAAGTAATTTCTTGTGAAGCATCCCTTGATGTAGTAGCTCGGAACATCAACATCTGGAATTCGTCTGACCCGATATTTCGGTCGTACCTCGATTTCAACAAATCTGTTTGGGAAACCAATCCCGTAGAGTTTACCTTGGCAGGCAATGGCTCCAACCACGCGAACGCCTCCCTCGCAAACTGTCCACTCATTGTCACCGACTTGGCACAACATTGCCACAGCGTGTTGATTCTCCTCCTCATCTTCATCTACACCAAAGACCATGACCGTAAGCTTGGAATCGGCATCATCGGGTAAGTGGAGCAAGCTGCATCGATAGATGAAGTTGACACGTTTTTGCCATGGTGGTAGCTGATGAAAAACCATGGACGTCACGTTCAGCAAAACACAATCCCCTGCTTCTGCTGCTGCCTCGTCAAGATTCATCAACAGCACCCGCCCATGACCCTGAGCATACACTCTTTTCCCTCTCAGCCTCGCTTCTATGCTATTCTTCTCTCTCGAATAGTACACACCCTTGGCCAAGTCGACCAATGTGACCACTTCTCGGCCGCCTCCTTTCTCTTCGTGAGACAGAACGATCCATGGCCTTCCTACTGTCGTTGTTGTCGTCGTGGATGTTTCTTCTCTCGCTCCGTCCTCGTTGAGCATTGGCCCATCGGGATTCGATAGAGACCAATCAAGCTGTCGGTCGGAAAAGTATTGAAAACTCGGGATCCAAGTACAATTGGACGGAATTCTAGTACCGAGCAGGTTTTCTGATGTATGCTGCTGCCCTGACGAGTGGAACTTGTTCGTTGAGAGCTGAGTAGAACACGTTGTGTCTTCCATGGAATCTCACAAAATGAATGGTGTTCTCCAACCCTGCTTTCACCCCTAGCTCCTGGCACGACATGGCTATGCATGACGTGGAGCTCAAGAAGATGACATCATCTCCGAGGCTGGTTGCACGCTGCCATAATTTACGAGGCTCGTTGAACTTGAGGACCTTAATTGAGCTCCCCCATGGCCCAACCACAATCGACATCAATTCCCCCTTGCGCGATCTCAAGAGATACCCTTCATTGCGGACGTGGCTTGTGAATGCGGAGTGTCTGGTGTCGAGTAATCTCCACGTCTTCTCCTCCTTCTTCTTCTTGTTGTTCTTGTCTCCAGGTCTGAAAACCCCCAACCTCCCACATTGGTCGAGGCAATAGAAAGCTCCGTTGTGGAAAACAGGGGCGGAAGCAGAGTTGGACCACTTGAAATCCGCATTGCAAGGGATGGGCCTCAAGTTACAGAGGGTTTTCCTGATGCGGAGTCCCCGCCGCTTGTTGGAAGCTTTGTTGCGCTTGCGATTGAAGTGGTTCAATCTGGTTTTGTTTGGGAAACCTTTGTATGTCCAGAAACTCTCTCCGCGTCGGAGGACAGCGATGGGGACATAGCTTTCAGACCAGCTCGCATCCGCAAGGCCGAAGACCACACAATCAGGAGAGGTAGGGGGAGCGGAAAAACTGATCCGATTGTGATCGGAGAAGGGCCGTAAGTCAGGCAAGTAGATGATGTTTCCCGTGGAGGGATGGAAGAAGAAGAGCTTATCTCCTCTGGACAGAAGCAACCAGCCGTAGTTGGAAGAATGGATGAGGGTCTGGTCCAGCTCCGGTGGAGCATCCACAAAGTACCATTCGTTAGAGGTGGAAGAGTAGAGCTTGTAAATGGAGGATGTCTGGTCCTGCCTCCTGCAAAAGCGCAATAGGAAGGGGTATTTAGAATCCTTGTCTATATGCAGCTGCAGCTGCTGCTGCTTGGTATTTGGCATTGATCCAAGTCCAACGAACTCGATCGGTGATCTGAAAATACTTCTTCCTCGGCTTGGCTTCCTTGTGTCGCAGAAGCTGCCTCTATTTATAGACTTGTTTGCTGGCCGTCTTCTTCCTACTGCACCAAGGAAACTGATTAACTCCTTCCTAGTCCGCAAAGGTGACCGATAATCAATTAATCATACGTTAATTAATTAATTAATTAATTGTTGAGTTTATGATAACCATTAAGTCACCATATCTGGCTCAAGATAGGGTGCATAACCATGGGTTATGCACCCATCAATAACCAAATTTGGATCCTTCATTTAGAAAATCCAGATCTAAGGATGGAGAATTAAAGACTATTTTTATTTTCACTGGCTTTCTTAATTGACTCATATCTTTTTCGTTTTAACTCGGATTTTAATTTTTTTTGCACAGATGGAACGAGTTCACCGTGCTCTACAAAATGAGATCAATTTTCAATATTTTTTGAGGAAAACAAAATTCTGGCATCTCGGTACCAACTGCATACCATATGATATCTTCTTCGTTTTTAATTCGTTTTTGAAAACGTTTGCACAGCAGGGACGAGTTCATCATGATCTACTGGATCTACAAATTTCTGGGTAAACAAATTACAGGACCAAAAAATACCACACAATACCATACAATACCACCCTGGTACGGGGTGGTATTGTATGGTATCTTCTTCGTTTTTAATTCGTTTTTGAAAACGTTTGCATAGAAGGGACGAGTTCATCATGATCTATTGGATCTACAAATTTCTGGGTGAACAAATTACAGGACCAAAAAATACCACACAATACCATACAATACCACCCTAGTACGGGGTGGTATTGTGTTGTATACAATGTTAAAAATCGTAAATTACAATTAATATACTTCTACTATCATGTATTGAACCATCCTACAGTTTGGTTTGTTCATACCACCATGGTACGTTTTTCAAAACATAAGTATGCTTTTATTTCAATACCAGTCAATACCATATGGTATAGGCTGGTAAAAAATGGCTCAATTTTTTTTGTTCGAAAAATATATTAAAGTGGATATCATTTTGAAGAGCACAATTAATCTGATCTAACTGTGCAAAAAAATTAAATTTCGACTTAAAATGAGCGAGAAATCGTCCGTCAAAGATTAAAGAGGAAAAAATTAAAGGCTTTCTATGAGAGAGAGGATGCTGATGTCATGCTGATGTGGACGGGTTACTCATGGTTACTCACCATAAGGTTACTGACCTGATCCATTCCCCCATATCATGCACCCAAGCAAACTTTATAGAGGTCAAGGTCTCGGGAACGGATCAAACTTGGTGCAATTTTAATATCCATCTAATGCACCACTAGCAATCAGACCAAACATGGATGTTATTCTAGATTTGGTGAATAGATATAAAGAAAATCTACATTTTCCCCCCTTTTCGCCTAAAGTCTTAACTACTAGGCGATCCCTATACTCATAAACTAAACCATTACGTCTTCAGTTTTCTTTTGAGAATCCATTTATTACCTAGGCTTCATTGCCAAGAGGTAATTCTCAAAACTGTCAAATCTTGTTCGATTTCATCGATATATTACCTAAGGCTTTACAACCAAAAGGTAACTATACAAGTTTCTAAATCTTACTAGACTCCACAAATTCCATTTCGTTAATAATGGATTCTCCCACGAATCTGCATATTTATGGAAGTTCACACTTCAAGCAGACTTGTGGGATCTTTCTTAGGGTGTAAATAAAAAATTCATAACCAAAATCCTTTAGTGATTTATGGTTCATTTGTCTCATGTCAATTCATACTCAATTTCATCACCCCCACTAGTTCCATTATTTATAATAGCAGGTAGGATATCACACCCACTATTTCTTGATTCAAATGAAAATTTATTGAACTTATGTGTTTTACAACATCTTACACACTGATATGCTCTTCTAGTTATCATGTTACACTGATTTTCTAATGCTACCGCATGCATGCCACATATCGAATAATCAGTGCAATCTTAATGCAATTAGGCATTTCAAACCATTTCAAATCACTAGTTATACAATCACAGCACTCTAAAGAGCAATAAATTATTTATTATCTTTTCCATCAAGTTTACCCATATCAACATAAATCAGATCTATTGATTCTGATTCTCTAACCACATAATTATGGGTCATTTAGCTTGGATATACAAAATTCATATTTTTCTCAAGCATCCAATAATAATATGGGAATGCGATAAAGATATTCTAATTCTTCACACAGACACACTTGGAAGAATTTATCTTATCTACTTAACCATTCCTTACGTCTAGGATAGTCAATGACTTTCTAGAGGTAGGGTTCTCTTCCACTTTCCCAACACCATCAACAATAGTGGTGAGGGTCTTGCCCAACAACACTTTCCCCTTCAATACGCCTCAATGCAAGATTGAGCTTAGCTACTTTATCAAATGCATGCCTTGAGGTGTCAATATCCAACCACCATTCTTCAGAATTGCCATAAGGCCTATCACCTCATTAGTGATTATTACCACCAAATCCTCTTATTTAGTCAAGTTAACACTATGCTAAACTTGTTCTTACACTTTCGTGTCTTATGACCTAGTTTCTCACAAATTTAACAGAGAAACATAGCATCATTCTTAGAGGATTGGGTGGCAATCTTATGGTTGCCACTAAGGGTACCACTCTATTTGGTATGGATTTGGTTCGACTTGCTGCTCTCATTCTTGAAACTTTAATGTTTCAGAGCAGCCTAAGTGGTTCGTGTAGTACTGATAATAGTACTTCTTACAATATCGTTATTATGGGCAATAAACCCATTCTATTCCCATATATTCTTCAATGTACACATTGAGACAAAATCATTCTATTCCACAATATATATTCTATTTATACTCTAATCATCGAGGTAATACATCTCAATGTCCACATATACATGCAGTAATTCTATTTTATCTCGCATTAATATGGATTTCTCAATACCATGCATAGAACTCAAGTGAAATAGATTCTAGCTTACCATTCATCGTAATGATGCATAAAGAAGGTTTTGATTCTTACCTCTTTTCGATGAGTCGATGCATTCTCAATTTGCACGAATAGCTAGCACCACTTCTAGCTCCCTTGTTTCTTGTCATGCTTCTCTCCGATTTAATTGCGACCATAGCACACCATTTGCTTTCAATGGGCCACCATATGTTTTCATTGCCCAAGTCGGCGTTCCATGTTGCCAACAGGAATGAAGTCCAAGTCCACTTGCATGTTCCTCTACTTTGGAACTGGGCTTTTCAAAACATGGTCCAGCTGACGGTGAGACTCAAGTTTGCCTTCCTCACTGTGAGTAGGGGTGGAAATCGGTACGGTATCGGTATCCCAATACCAAATACCGAAATCCCGAATACCGAATTACACCCTAAAGTCAATCCCAATCCCAATCCCTAAATTATTTCGGTATCCCAATCCCAATCCCTAAATATTTCGGTATCCCAATCGGTACTTCGGTATCCCAATCGGTATTATCGAATACGAAATTAATTATCTTTACAATTAATAATTAAATATATAAATTAGATTTTATTGTTTAATTTAGGGGAAAAAGACTAAGCAAAGAGTTTTGAATTATGATATTATTAAGGAGAATGGAGGAGAGGAGACATCTCAAGTTCTTGTCATTGATAATCTTTAATTTGACGAATTGGAGGTTGGGCGACGACTATTAATAGTGATCGAATGATCTGTATATAATTAAATGACATTTTTGGTGGTTGAGGGTCATGTAGTAGTAAATGAGGGAGTCTAGTTGAGAGGATAAAATACAAACTAGCTAATATTTCGGTATTGATCGGTATTTCGGTATATCCCGATCCCAATCCCGTAATCCCTAATACCGAATAACAATTGAAATTCAATCCCAATCCCAATCCCAAGAAATAATACGTGTATTCGGTAATACCAAATATAGACAAATTCGGTACGGTATTCGGTATATCCCAAATACCGGTACCAAACTTCCAGCCCTAACTGTGAGACTAGGAATGACAATGGGGCAGGTTCGGGGCGGGTTTCTTGGTACCCAGACCCGCCCCGTGGCAGGTCGGGTAATTGATCACGGGTCGCGGGTCGGGGCAGGTCGACCTAATGAGTATGCAATTTATATGAAAAACATTAGAAATATTCGTTATTTTTATTATAAGACTAAGAAAACAAACAATATTATGACAATTATAATTAAATTATTGGAGAAATTGAGATTTTTCCTAATTTACAACTTTATTATAGATAAAATATGATGCAATAAATGACTAAGATTACATGTGATTTAGACAAGAACGGGTAGAGAATGGGGCGGGTCAGGGCAGATCGGATCAATGAGACTACCCATGTCCGCCCCGACCCGCCCCGTAGGCGGGGCGGGTCGGACCCGCCCCAAAATAGATCAAACAGGTCGGGTAAACGGATGAGGTCGAAATTGCCATCCCTATATGAGACCCATTGTTTGTCGGTCTTTTAAGTCTTTCTCCTTTTAGACGTATAATAATAATTCTTGTCTTTGGCCCATTTGATTATTGGGTCCAATTTTCCATACTCCAACTTCGTCTCTTTCACAGCGGTTGTTCTTTCCGCCGATCGGGCTTGTTTCCCTTTCTCACTTTTTGTCACAGCGGCCGATGATGATGCTCGGCAGGGAATTGGTAGAACTCAGGTTAATTATGGCGGCATCTGATCGCAGATACGCGAAGCCAGCTACAGCAAGACTCTAGGACGCGGTTCTTCAATTTCCGTCCCACAGCTCATTAAATCCGCCGCTCCAATTCTCGCCATCGTGCCCTTGCTGCTGCTCTTTCCATCCATACCAATTAAAACAATAACCAGAACTCATACAGAAAGATTAGTGAGGTATATACAAAGAGATCCGTGAGGGAAACGATAATTGGAATGGGTGAGGGAAACAATAATTCCAATTCGGGGCAATTGCTTCTAAACCTCCACGCAACATATCCGAGGGCGGAACAAAAGGAAACTTCCCGTAAGATCCAGTTGAACTTGGCTGCCTCCAATCCCCTCGGACACTTTTCTTTCTGCTTGAGGTGGAATTGTGCGGATCCGCTATGGTCTCCATGACAATTAACAACAGCTTTTATTGAATCCGCGATAATCATGATCCCGCGGCGATACAAATAAATTGAACCAGATCGAACCTGTTTGTATACGACAACAACCGAATGTTTTAAAATTGTTAGAAACCGAACAGAAAAAATTAGGGTTCCCGATTTGGCTGAGTCGCGGACTAGGTCGCTCTCTTTAAGACGTTCGCGACACTGCCTTCGTTGCGCACGGCAGACTATCAGCCGGTCGCCTCCAGGATAAAACAGTCATTCTAATTTTGTTGCTCATCGGGTTTGTGCGAAAACCGGAGCTCTATGAACTTACTCTCTCTCGTGTTTCTGCTCTCTGAAATGTGTTTAGAGGGTCTGGGGCGTCTCCTATTTATAGGAGCAGAAACCCCAGAATATTCACTCTTTCTTTGGAATAAGTCACATTTTAATTAGGGAAATAATTACTCCCATAATTAAAATATAATCTATTAAGATAATTATTTCTAATTATGTCCATAATATTCATTTTATTAATTATCCATCTTAATTTTGTATTATAAAAAAATGCTGAATAATTAATTAGAAATTTTATTATAACTTTTCAAAACTATTCATCCCAACAAAATTTGCTTTACAGTTACACAGACCAGCCTGCTACTGAGACACTGAGTGCAGCTTCAGCAGCTCGTCTCGTCGTCGGAATCTCTTCTTAGAAGAGAAGCTACCCGCCGCAACTCCCATTGGTCCATCACGTAGCTCCCAGCTTGTCCTCACATACACCTGCGGAAACCAGAAACTTCTGGAATTGATTGATAGCTGCAAAACGAATTGATCAAGTGTCGGAATACTATTTTACCGAGAGGATGGATTCTGGATGAACGATTCTCCGAAAGTGGAATCTCTGATCCAGCTCCACCGCCGAATTGGAATCTTGTCGAACAGCCGAGACGATTGCGGAGGCGGAGGGAAGCATCGCCGTCTCCGCCTTATCCGGTTCTCCGCGATCATCTGGAACTGGAATAGGTGATTATGTCACGTGAGGGAGGTTACTAGCTGGAGAGGATGTAGATTGAAGGAGAAGGAGAGGAGGAGATTGTCGTTGTTCGGTTGTTCCTAAGGGAGGTTAGGTGGAGATAGGAGTGTGGAGCGGCGGTGGCGGAGTGGTTTAGTTCCGTTGGAGGAGGAGATGGCCGGCGACGGGCACAGGAAGGAGGAAGATGAAAGAATGAATCCGAAAGTGACGCCAAAATCGTGACACGTAGGCAGGAGCTACGACCTACGAGTGGTCAATACGATGCCGTTAGGTCTCGCTCGACAAGCTGGCTATTATCAACTCAACAGTAAAAGCTTTTGACCACTATAACGCCAACGGCTCTCTCTTCAGTCTTCACTTCACCATTATTTCATCGACTCCTTCCCCCCCAAAAAACCCATCTAAAAATCCTCCGCTCCTTCCCTCTCTCCGTCTCTCCCCCCTCTGCTCTGTCCAAGTCCAGCTCAGGAGGTTCATAGCCGTTAAAACAGTTTACCATTCAATTGCTCAGAGAAAAAAGGGGGAAAAAGCTCCAATGGCTCACAAAGTGGAGGCGAATTTCCCCAATTCCATCCTCAAGTTACCGTCTCTGACCTCTTCCTTGAAGCGAAAGCGGCCGCCCATGATTGAGATCCCCAACGTCCTTCAAGAAATCAAGTCCGAAGATGCCAACCTCAAATTCAATGACTTTGCCGCCCCAACTCCACGGCGAGACGGCTTCCTTTCTTCTTCTGGGCCGGGGGTTTGTGTTTCTGCTGTCAAAGGGAAGAAGAAGTTCATGGAAGATTCCCACAAGATCGTTTCTTGCTTGAATGGCGATTCCCGCAGTGTAATGCGATTCTTCTTCTTCGTTCTTTCTTTCTTGTTTTAGGGTTCTTTCGCTTTCCTTACTTAATTTCCTTAATTGGATTTCGGCAGGGGTTTTTTGGGGTTTATGATGGGCACGGTGGGAGGAAAGCTGCCGAATTCGTTGCCGAGAATCTCCACAGCAATATCATGGGAACGATGGTAGATTGTAGAGATGAGTCTTCTAAAGAAGAAGCCTTAAGAGCTGGGTACTTGAAGACAGACCAACAGTTCTTGGAGCAGGTCTGGGTTCGTTTCCTTCCAATCAGACATTTTCCCTCTCCCCCCTTGAATTGGGCTACTTGCAATATTATTCTATCTTTAGTGACTAAGACTGCATTCCATTCAAAACCAACTCAGAATTGACTGGGGAAAAAGGGGAGGGTTTGATTTTTTCCACTCAAGGAATGGTAAGAGAATGTATTATATGATTGTCAAATAATGTGAAGTTCCTCCAGCAGACTTAGACTGTTGAACTTGAGAAAACCCCTTTTGTAGAATGCAAGGAATGAGTGTTGATTGTTAGAGATTCTTTTTGGTATCCAGTTCCTTTTGGAGGAAGAATTTGTATGCAATTTCACTGGTTCTGGTAGATTCTCTTTAGTTGACGTGGGAACAAATTATGCAGGGTCTGTTGAGCGGTGCTTGTTGTGTGACAGCCTTAATCCAAGGACAAGAAATGGTTGTTTCTAACTTGGGAGATTGTAGGGCTGTTCTATGTAAAGGAGGAGTGGCAGAAGCCCTTACAATAGACCACAGAGCAGAAAGAGAGGATGAAAGGCAAAGGATAGAGAATAAGGTAGAAAATACTGCAAACTATTAATAGACCATATAGCAAGCTTGATATATATTTCTCTGCATTATGTACTGATGAAATTCTGATACACAGGGAGGTTATGTTGAGTTCCATCGAGGAGCATGGCGAGTGCATGGGATACTTTCTGTGTCTAGAAGCATTGGAGATTCCCATCTAAAGGAATGGGTGTTAGCTGAGCCAGACACCAACATTCTGCACCTGACACCAGACATGGAGTTTCTCGTCTTGGCTTCTGATGGATTGTGGGAAGTGGTGAGGCAAAAAGGGAAAGCCTGAAAATTAGCTTCATTTGCAACATTTGAAGCATTTGGTTCTACTAGTCAATCTTAATTAATGTTCCCTGTGATTTTTGTTTGGATGCTTTAGGTTGAGAATCAAGAAGCTGTTGACATTGTCACTGCATCATGTATGCCTGAGAACAAGTCAGGACCACTTCTCTGGGATGGAATCGAGTGTGGGCGAGTAAATGTGAGCCCTGTTGACATTGTCACTGCATCATGTATGCCTGAGAAGAAGTCAGGACCACTTCTCTTGGATGGAATCGAGTGTGGGCGAGTAAATGTGAGCCCTTCATCGAAGCTGCGAAGGGTCTCGCTTGTGAGGCAGCAGGAACAACATAGGTTACAAAAACCGTCACCAACTCATAAGGAGGAAGAAGAAGAGTTTCCCAGTGAAAATGACATACCACCATTGAAGTTGAGGAGGATTAGCCTAGTGAAGAAGATCAAAACGAAAACAGAGTCTTCTCCCATCAAAGAGAACATCCAGAAATCTCCTCCCTCAACCGCAGGGCTTGCCGGTGCTTGCAAGGAGCTTGTGAACCTCGCAGTAAGCAGGGGTAGTTTAGATGATATAACTGTGATGATAATTGATCTTAGTTGCTTCAGAAATAAGCAATGAGTCTAGCTTGGCTAATTGTCATGTACCATACAATCATTCATTTCCTTGTGTACATATGTGAAGCATTGCAGTGCAGCCGGACTAGTTATGGGTCTCCTCCACTACCCTTTGAGAGGGAGAAAAAAGGTTTTTTTGTCGTTCATAATATTAGCCAAACATCCTCCTCTTTGGAAACTGCCAACTGTTGCCAGCATTGTTCTTCACTTCTCTTCTGCCCCTCCATTTTCCTTTTGCCACTTACCTTGTTGCTTTCTAGCTCAATCATATATTCCTTTATGAGTGACGACCATAACATAACATGGATGGTCTCTCACTGGACCACCACTGAAATTTCCAGCCAATGCAAAGCAGGTCTTCTTGCAGTCTGTGTTTACCAGAAATCATGTTCTCTTCAAAGGTAACCATGAATCCGGGTTAGGGCACTCCTTTGCGCCAGCTTTTCCACCGGAAAAAAGGTAACCATGAATCCTCGGCTAGCTTATAACATATCATATGTTACTTCAAGCCTGCATATGCAGCAGGAACAATCAGCAAAAGGGTCGTCCACTAAAATAAAGGCCAAGTAAAAGTGGAATAGAAATCTGCAGATTGATAGTAACATACAGTTCATCCATTTAGATTCTACTACTGCTAACCCCATGAGACTAAACCTGCCATCATCTCATAATAACCCATGCAGCACCTGGAGCTTGAGTGGTAGGAAGTAGTCTTCTAGGTCCGCCATTTCTAACAACCAGAAAACACTGATCTTAACTCCAAGGCTTTCTCCAAAGAAGAAGAAAACGGTAGGAAGTAACTGCATCAAGCGCTTACTCTGTCATCATATTCATATATCAGTACAGAGGAACAGAAAACTAACCAGCGAGGAAAGAAGTACAAATCTCGCCTCTGATCGGCAATTCTTCACCTGCCATGATCGCTTCTCTAGTAGAGAAGAACATGCAGCACTTGAATTTGATTTAATGTAACCAAAGGAGAAGAAGAAGAAGAAGAAGAAGAAGAAGAAGAAGAAGAGTGATGCAGTTGCATTCCTATGAACGAATTCCAACACCAGTGCTAGGATTTATGCTTCTATGTGCAGTAATATCCGTCGTCGATGGTTGTTCTCAAATCGGGAACCAGTGCCGGAGAAATAGCCATCTGTACATTGAGAGTCCTTAGATTCCTGAGGTTTTCCATCTCAAGGTTCCTCTCCCCTAATCATATTCCTAACAAAGTAACAATGATTGGAAGGCAAAAGCAGAGTGAAAAGTGAAACTCTGTAATTTTTTCTTCTTCTTCAAAAACTTAAAAAACGAATAGATAGGAAAAAGGTAACATAACAGCTCAAATAAAAGCGTCCAAATTCAGTACCAGCTGCTTGGTTCCTGCCTCTTGCCCCACCCCACATGCTCTCTCCCTATAACAAAAGCTTTTCTTTAAACCTGAGCTTCTTGAGATGCATGATGGAAAGATAGGAAACTGTCTGTTTAACTTTTACCTTGCATGGAAACTTGGTTTAGTGGTGGGTGTTTCCCTCCTTTACTCTCTAGTATAAAACCTGTTTTCCTTTCCCTTCCTCAATACCACAGTTCCAAGTTCTTGGATCTCTTCTTTCTCTCCCCAACTTTCTTGACCCAAAAGCTCTCTCCTTTTCCCTCAATTTGCCATCCCTACTCTCTCTCTCTTCTTGTCCAAACACCATGCATGATTCAATCGCCATCCCTGCCTGCTTCTCCTCCTCAGGCGAGCAGCCAGCACCACCACCACAACAAGCAGCCACCGTGGTGACAAGGTCAGGCCAGTCGGTGTTCATGTCGGTCTACAAAACCCACCTGGCCGGAAAACCCCGTTTCATCACAATCACATGGTGCAAGAATCTGCTGCTACATGGTCTGTCTGTCTCAGTCCAAGCCAGTAGCAGCAGCAGCAGCAATGGTGGTAGTACTAGTAGTAGGGATCATACGGATGAACATCATCAGCATGAGTGCAAGGTGGAGCTAAAGCCGTGGTCTTTCTGGCGAAAACATGGATCGAAACAGTTCATTGTCGATGGTAAGTCAGTAGAAGTGGTGTGGGACTTGAAATCGGTGAAATTCGAAGGCGAGACAGAGCCGAGATCGGATTACTATGTGGCCATTGTATGTGAAGATGAAGTTGTTCTGCTTCTAGGCGATCTGAAGATCGATGCCTACTTGAGAACCCGGTGCAGGCCTGCACTAATCGAGCCGGCATTGGTGTCGAGAAGGGAACATGTGTTTGGTAAAAAAAGGTTCGTCACGAGGATGAAGTTCCACCATGAGAAGAAAGGTTGTTACCATGAGATCTGCCTTCAATGCAACAGCAATGGTGTGGATCATGAGATGGAGATCAGAGTGGATGGGAAGAGGGAGATTGAAGTGAAGCATCTGCAGTGGAAGTTCAGAGGGAATGAGTCGATGGTTGTGAGCAACAAGGATAGAGTGGAGGTGTATTGGGATGTTCATGATTGGTTGTTTGGTTCTGGTCCAAGACATGGGCTCTTCATATTCAAGCCAGTGTCAGGTTCTTGCTCTTCTTCTTCTGATTATGATGGTGATCAAGAAATGAGGTTTGATAGTGGAGGAGGATCAGTTGGTGATGGTGATGAAAGTGGAGGATCGTCTAGCAATTTTTGCCTGTTTCTGTATGCTTGGAAGGTAGAATGAAATACTGAAAATGGTGGGATTGAGATAAGCAAGCTGTCCATTTTTTTTTTTATCTCTGGGGATGTGGACCATTGGGGATGGAAGTTTGGGGAAAGAGGGGATGGACAAGAAATGGACAATAAATGCTTTAATAATAATAAGATTATTATTATAACAACTGTGTTTTGGGTTCTTCATGTTTCCCACCTTTTCAGGACAGTCAAAGGGAGGTCAAAGTTGATGTATAAAAGTGTATGTAAAAGTTATGATGATGATCATTTTGGTTGCAGCAGCTGGTGTGGTGATGGTTGGTGGTGGGTAAAGTTGGAAGCTCCCACAAACAAAGGCAAAAGGCTTCTTTTTCTTGTACAATACATACTTCTGTTGTTCGTGTGTCATTTCCTCATCATTTTAACCTTCCATTGAATTGGGAAGTTCGTCATTTTCTGGTACTGTATATGTTTCCCAGAAAATTTCATTTGCCTTTTTTTTATAACAATACTTTGCTATTCTTAATCTTTCTTTCTAGAGGATGGTTAGCCTATTAGATCTGAGTTAAATCAAGTGCAATGTTTAACGTCCAGAAAGCTAACTCTAAATTAAAAAATAACTTTAGGTGGTTGTCTGACAGATCAGTAGAAGTGCAGAACTTATTATCAAGTGTAATTGGCTCTCAGAACTCTGAATCTAAGAACTTGATTAACATTGGTATGTGGTTCACTAGTTGGGGAGATAATGACTCAACTAGGGCTGCAAATTTGGTACCGGTATTTGCCACTTTGTTGCCTTTTCTTTGTGAGAGGAATAATATTTTATGATAGATGAAGATTAAAATCTCAGAAAACCCCCTTGTCCTTCTTCTTGTCGATGATAAAGCAAAATAAGTAGTGAGAATCACCATTTTTTAAGTTTTTGAATTGATGATGATCGGAAATTTAAAATTTTCGTTAGATTTCTCACATTTTAAAGTGATGTTGCTAATGATTTTATGAACTTGCTATAAATCGTAAGATTATAGCTTTGGACTTTGCTATGGTGACTTGCAAGTCACTGTGACTTCGGCAAAATGGTCGACCTGTTCACTGATGAGGTCGACCTATTTGGACAAAACGACCGACCTCTTTACTGATATGGTCGACCTATTTGGACAAAATGATCGACCTCATTGTTATAATGGTCGACCAGATGTACTATTTTCCATTTTACTATGTTCAACAAATGGTCAACCTCTTCTACTAAAAGATATTATACAAAAAAAATGGTCTAACACTTCCCAAGTGATCTACCGGATGAACCATTCGTATTAATATTATCATATATAATTACAGTCCAATAACAATAGATATGCTTTCCACTAAGAGATTTAAAATGAGTACAAAGGATGCAAGCATAGATGACAAGTTTCTCGAGTATCATGGAATTGACGTAAATCCATTGTTTGGTAAGAGACACAAATCAGTGAGGTTCACGGATTAGATCCTTTTTTTAGATCCAATCCATGGCCCCACGTATTTGTAAATCCACAACTCATTTGGGATTTGATAATGGAAGCAAAAAATGTGTGACAAATCCATCATAAATCCATAATATAAAATTCACTTAACAAACGATGTACTCTTCTAAGTCCATAATGCAACATATCCATAATAAATTCAAAGGTTTTTAAAACTGAAAACCTTCATTTTCAAATCCAATAAGCAAATGAGCTTGCTATAAAATGTCAAACTTGCGGCACAAATTAACAATATGGACACAAAGTATAAAACTTCAAGCAAAAGTTAGTTATAAAGTCAAAAGTAAGAAGGATAGTAAGGTAATATAGATTTTAAAGCTATAAATCCATAACCGAAAAAACCATGAACAAATCAATTAAACAAACAAATAGACTCTTTCAAATCCATAATGCACCAAATTACAAAATTGAAGTTGTGCCAAAATTCTCATGTTCAAATCCAGCAAACAAACCATCCCTAGTTTAATGAGAGCTCGGTTAATGGATCTGGGTTAGCCCACCAACTAGGGGTGTTCATATGGTTACCATGGTAATTATCAAATAAATAAGCCTAAATTCTATTAACCACGAAATACAATATCATAACCAAACCGTCCAAACTAGTACGACAACCAAATTAACCAAACTAAAATTTAATCGGTTTGGTTAATTGGTTAGCCAAAATAACCAATATATCATCACATTATTATTAAGTGAGAAATTTTTCCGGTTAGTGCATCAATTCACAATTTATATAATGAATAACACATAACAATCAACCCAAAATTATAGTTAACCCTTAACAAATATACATGTAACTAATACAATTAACTTACATTTTACTCTTGAGTGGATATGCAAAGCATTAAGTATATCTATATAATATATTAGATATATAGCTAATTACTTAACTGGTTAATTTGATTTGATCGGTTAGCAGTGTCTAAAACCAAACCAAACCACTTAAATCAAACAAGCTAAAAAAATTAACCAACCAAACCAATTATCCAAATGCTACCGGTTAAAACAATTACCACGATAACCACACTGTTTGAACACCCTACCCTTATCATTCCAAAGTCCAAACGAACGTTATGCCATTTAATCATACACAAGAAAAGTTAAAATGCTTGTCAATTGAAAATGTTGATTTACTCGAAGCTGGTATCATGACTCGGCAAATCAAAACTCTAAAAGCTACTCTGTACAAAAAGGAAAGAGAAAAAGAAAAAAAAAAGACGGTAAAAGATACCATGCATATTGAAAACAACAAAGCAAGAAATATATTTAGGTTGGAGTATTGTATTGATCACAAACTCTAGCCATGGATGGAATTGGAATTATTACCCATCTCCCAACTATATAAACCCCTGCCAAAATGCCTGAAATTAATACAATCAAACCTACAAAACAATTTCTACAAAACCCAGAATAACACCCAGTACTCAATCTCAGTTCAGCAGCGGGCGCAAGCAACATCATGGGGAAGCCTGCTATTTCCTTGAGAATCGCCACCTCTCTTGTACTGATAGTCCTTGCCGTTCTGATTTCAGGTAAGTAATTAAGTGAAGCAGTGCTATCTAGTTGTGTTTTCTTGAATATTAAAGCTCATGGATAGTATTTCTTGTTATCGCAGGCATGTTGAAACCGGGTGAGGCGAGAACGAGCCCATCCGTGCAGGTAGCGGATGTGGGGAATAAGCAGCTGGCCATGGGAGGAACCAACGCTACTAATTACTCTGTCGAACAGACGGAGGACCCGCCGGCTTGCTCTGATGGCAGCCAATGCATCAATTACTGTCACGCAAAGAACCCTGAACTGGACTACTTTTGCAGTGGGGATTCGAAGTGCTTCTGCAGTTGGTGCTGACCGAATCAATTAATCCTCTTTCGTTTGGATCACAGAAACACGAGCTAAGAAAGACGGAGGAATAAAAAATATAGAGATGCGATGAACCACCGAATAATTATATTGCAGGAAGTACGTACTGGTAGAATGGGATACTTGCTCTGCTGCTATATATGCTAGCTGATCATACCCTCCATGTTCTCTTCTTCGGTTTGTGTGTTTTAGTTTGCTGCTCGATTGCCACCCTGTTTGAGCTAATCTCAATACGCGGTTTTCCATCGCCTTTGAGACGAAACCAAGAGTTCAGTACTGAGAAATTATCCCATCGAGTTAATTTTAAGATTACTGTGTGTCCGGCTTTCCTACTTAAGCTGATTACCAGTTAGTCAAGATTAAATCCGAATTATTAAATTTCGGCGAAATTCATTTCAAACAAGAAAACAAAAGGAAAGAAAGGGATGGAATACGGTCACTTCCTTTAAGTGGTTGTGAGATTCACAACCATGTGCATTTTGTGGTGAAAAAATGAATTTATTAATTTTTTATATTAATTACACATTAGGAATTAAAAACTCATATTAAATACATATTTAGTTTGCACAATAATTTGAAGTTAGGAGTGCGGATCTGGTGACTAAGGGGGGGTGCTTAGTCACTTGACTAAGCCCCTCCTAGCCATTAGATCTGGACACTTCAATCCAATGGTTAAAAAGTGGGAAGGGCTATTTAATTAATAGCAGGGGTAGTTTGGGTATTATGAAAAATTACAAAGTATACAAACCGGATTTACAATCAGTACAAACCATACAAACATACGAACAGTACAAACTAGAGCAACAAAACATACAAACATTACAAACGTATGAACTGTACAAACAATACAAACTAGACTGACAAAAAATACAAACCATACAAACATACGAACAGTACAAACTAGAGCGACAAAACATACAAACATTACAAACGTATGAACTGTACAAACAATACAAACTAGACCGACAAACAATACAAACCATACAAAAGGAAAAAACACCCGGGTTGACTTTTGAGGCTCCATCCCTATATAGAGGGGCTCCTTCCCAAAGTCAACCCGGGTGTTTTTTAGACATACAAACAGTACGAACATGGTGGACAAAAATGACAAACTAGACCGACAATCCATACGAACGGGAAAAAACACCCGGGTTGACTTTGGAGGCTCCATCCCTATATAGAGGGGCTCCTTCCCAAAGTCAACCCGGGTGTTTTTTAGACATAAAAAACATTACGAACATGGTGCACAAAAATAACAAAGTTTACAAACATGGTTAACAAAAATAACAAAGTTTACAAACATTACAAAAAAACCGACAAACGTTACAAAATAACAAAGCATACAAACATTACAAAATATGTCAACAAACATCACAAAATTAGCACTGTCGCCGGGAAATTCTTCTCCGGCGACGATGTTCGCCGGAAAAAAATTTCCGATCAAAATATTTGTCCGACCAAAAAAAAACTCTCTCTCTCTCTCTCTCATAATAATAATTCCCTGGGCAAGGGATAATTGCAGCGGACCCTCCCTGGTCACGCTCTTCTCTCTGGGGATAATAATTCCCTGGGGAAAAATGGCGGCCCTCCCCCCTGGTCACGCCGGAAGAATTTCCATCGGAGAGAAGGATCGGCCGGCGGAAACTCTCTGGTAACAGGCCACCGGAGAAGAAAACGGGTCCACGGGCTGGACTTTTAATTATTTTAATTGGTAAATAAAAATTAAATAATTAAATTACTACATTGCCCTTCATTAAATTGGATTAATCAGGACCATTGAATTTTAATGAGGTGGAAGGGCTGAGATTCACTTAGTCACATGACTAAGGGACCCCCCCTTAGTCACCTGATCTTAGCCCTAGGTAGGGGATTTTGATCAGAAAAAATTCCTGGTCTGGAGGTCCAAAAACCCTCGGCTAGCTTATAACATATCATATGTTACTTCAAGCCTACATATGCACTTGCAACTTGCAAGTTCCAACATGCAGCAGGAACAATCAGCAAAGGGTCGTCCACTAAAATAAAGGCCAAGTAAAAGTGGAATAGAAATCTGCAGATTGATAGTAATCCATTTAGATTCTACTACTGCTAACCCCATGAGACTAAACCTGCCATCATCTCATAACCCATGCAGCACCTGGAGCTTGAGTGGTAGGAAGTAGTCTTCAAGGCCCGCCATTTCTAACAACCAGAAAACAATGATATTAACTCCAAGGCTTTCTCCAAAGAAGAAGAAAACGGTAGGAAGTAACTGCATCAAGCGCTTACTCTGTCATAATATTCATATATCAGTACAGAGGAACAGAAAACTAACCAGCGAGGATAAAAGTACAAATCTCGCCTCTGATCGGCAATTCTTCACCTGCCATGATCGCTTCTCTAGTAGAGAAGAACATGCAGCACTTGAATTTGATTTAAGGTAACCTAAGGAGAAGAAGAAGAAGAAGAGTGCTGCAGTTGCATTCCTATGAACGAATTCCAACACCAGTGATACGATTTATGCTTCTATGTGCAGTAATATCCGTCGTCGATGGTTGTTCTCCAATCGGGAACCAGTGCCGCAGAAATAGCCATATGTACATTGAGAGTCCTTAGATTCCTCCTGAGGTTTTCCATCTCAAGGTTCCTCTCCCCTAATCATATTCCTAACAAAGTAACAATGATTGGAAGGCAAAAGCAGAGTGAAAAGTGAAACTCTGTAATTTTTTCTTCTTCTTCAAAAACTTAAAAAACGAATAGATAGGAAAAAGGTAACATAACAGCTCAAATAAAAGCGTCCAAATTCAGTACCAGCTGCTTGGTTCCTGCCTCTTGCCCCACCCCACATGCTCTCTCCCTATAACAAAAGCTTTTCTTTAAACCTGAGCTTCTTGAGATGCATGATGGAAAGATAGGAAGCTGTCTGTTTGCCTTTTACCTTGCATGGAAACTTGGTTTAGTGGTGGGTGTTTCCCTTTACTCTCTAGTATAAAACCTGTTTTCCTTTCCCTTCCTCAATACCACAGTTCCAAGTTCTTGGATCTCTTCTTTCTCTCCCCAACTTTCTTGACCCAAAAGCTCTCTCCTTTTTCCTCAATTTGCCATCCCCACTCTCTCTCTTCTTGTCCAAACACCATGCATGATTCAATCGCCATCCCTGCCTGCTTCTCCTCCTCAGGCGAGCAGCCAGCACCACCACCACAGCAAGCAGCCACCGTGGTGACAAGGTCAGGCCAGTCGGTGTTCATGTCCGTCTACAAAACCAGTGAGGAACAAAACCAGGGAGATAAGGACTCAATTAGGGCTGCAAATTTGGTACCAATATTTACCACTTTGTTGCCTCTTCTTTGTGAGAGGAATAATATTTTAGGATATATGAAGATTAAAATCTCAGAAAACCCCCTTGTCCTTCTTCTTGTCGATGATAAAGCAAAATAAGCAGTGAGAATCACCATTTTTTAATTTTTTGAATTGATGATGATCGGAGATTTAAAATTTTCGTTAGATTTCTCACATTTTAAAGTGATGTTGCTAATGATTTTATGAACTTGCTATAAATTGTAAGATTATAGCTTTGGACTTTGCTATGATGACTTGCAAGCCACTGTGACTTTGACAAAATGATCGACCTATTTGGACAAAACGACCGACCTCTTTACTGATATGGTCGACCTATTTGGACAAGATGATTGACCTCATTGTTATAATGGTCGACCAGAAGTACTATTTTTCATTTTACTATGTTCAACAAATGGTCAACCTCTTCTACTAAAAGACATTATACAAAAAAAATGGTCTAACACTTCCATCAAGTGGTCTACCTCTTTCAATACTTGATCTACCGGATGAACCATTCGTAGTGATATTATCATATATAATTACAGTCCTATAACAATAGATATGCTTTCCAGTAAGTGATTTAAAATGAGTACAAAGGATGCAAGCATAGATGACAAGTTTCTCAAGTATCATGGAATTGACGTAAATCCATTGTTTGGTGAGAGACACAAATCAGTGAGGTTCACGGATTAGATCCTTTTTTTTAGATCCAATCCGTGGGCCCCACGTATTTGTAAATCCACAACTCATTTGGGATTTGATAATGGAAGCCAAAAATGTGTGACAAATCCAAGATAAATCCATAATATAAAATTCACTTAACAAACGATGTACTCTTCTAAATCCATAATGCAACATATCCATAATAAATTCAAAGGTTTTTAAAACTGAAAACCTTCATTTTCAAATCCAATAAGCAAATGAGCTTGCTATAAAATGTCAATCTTGTGGCACAAATTAACAATATGGACACAAAGTATAAAACTTCAAGCAAAAGTTAGTTATAAATTCAAAAGTAAGAAGGATAGTAAGGTAATATAGATTTTAAGGCTATAAATCCATAACTGAAAAAACCCTGATCAAATCCATAACGATGTACTCTTTCGAATCCATAATGCACCAAAATTACAAAATTGAAGTTGTGCCAAAATTCTCATGTTCAAATCCAAAACAAACCATCCCTAGTTTAATGAGAGCTCGATTAATGGATCTGGGTTAGCCCACCAACTAGTAGGAGTGTTCAAATGGTTACCATGATTATAATTGTTGGGGGTACTACCTAACAGTTAATGGTCTGGGCCCCCAAAAAGTAGGGATGGGGGCAGGGCCCAAAAAATGGTTCCAATAAAGGCCACTAGGCCCAAGCAAGAGGAAGGGCCCAAAAGGACAAAACACTAAAAGCCAAGAGAAGACCAGCTGTCAGGTGGTCCACTGCCTGCGGGCGCCTGTCGCGTGTCAGAAGCCTGACAAGGCAGTTGGATGTCTCACAAGGAGGACACAGAGCATTAAATTGGGGCAGTGACGTGGAGGAGATCAACCTCGAGTTCGGTGAGTATAAATAGGGGCAGTTGGTAGCATTTACACAGGTTGGACTCTCTCACTAGAATTCCGACTCTCAGACCTTTCCCTCTCTAAAGAACTAACTTGGGCGTCGGAGGATTAACGGGCTCATGCGCCCTCCTCGTTGCGTGTGTGTGTAGGCAGGCGCCGGGTGAAGTGAAGACTCGGAGGAGCCCGCGGGTATCTAGGCACAAACAATTGGCGCGCCAGGTAGGGGAATATAACTGAGAATCATGAGTGAGGAAACGTCAATGAATGGTGAAAGAGAAGGAGAGGAGATTACGGAAGACCAGTCGGAGCGATTGAGGGGACTGGCGCCCGAGATGGAGGAAGGGGAGGAAAGCGATGGCATGTTCCGAGGATCGGAAGGCGCCTCGGTGACGAAGAAAGAACTGTTTAAAATCATTGAAGACCAAG